CAGCCCTCATTACTGGCGCGGCGTGCGTTATGCCTTGCTGGACATGGTGCGGCAAGTCGGCTACCCTCGCATCTTCTTCACGATCGCCCCCTACGAGTGGAGCTTCCCCTACCACGAGTGGGTACGCGACGAGATGCAGAAGCTGCTCAAGGAGCGCCTGTTCTTGCCGGTCGCTGAGACGCTGCACATGGTGCACGTCATGGTCCAGGCAGTGAAAGGCTTGCTGCTGGGGCATACAGGCGGATCTGGGAAGCAGCCTTGGAAGAGCAACATCTTCCGTGTTCTGGACGACCAGGGCCATGCCCGCCGCCTGCACTTCTTCTTGCGTCTCGAGTATCAGGACGGGACCCGAAAGGCAGCCACCCAGGACTACCACGGCTCCGGCAGAGTGCACGTGCACGTCGTCATCTTTGTCAAGCCCGAGGACGTCGAGCAATTAAACCTGGTGGAGACTGTGTCTGCTACTTTGCCTGAAGATGCGGAGCTTCGCGGCTATGTCGAAGGCAGCCAGTACGACCGGGACAAGAAGAGCGGCTGGCCCGTCCACCAAGCAGCGACTTGCTTCGACCGTGAGACAGGCGCGTGGCGCCTTCAGCACACGGAGGACGACCATGCGGCGGGGATGCGCCCCTACATCGTGGACTTGATGGAAGTGCTCCGCTGCCACCAGGACTTCCAGATGTGCGACGACGACGGCCTGCTCCGTGCCTACGTCACCAAGTACGTCAGCAAGTTCTCGGATGCGGCCAGTGAGGAGTGGCTGAATGACGACGCGGAGGCCATGAGCATCGCCGCCACCGTGCTCATGCGCTATCGGCCGCTGGAGCCAGAGATGGTGCTGCAGCTCTTTGGCGCCAAGTTCCGGCAATGGCAACTCTCCACGCAGAGCGGTGGCAAGCGCGATTTGGTGGCGCCCTACCCTGACCAGGACCCCAAGCCGCGCGAGGTGGAGCTGTACGAGCAGGCGGACTGGGCTTGTGGCCGCATCAGCCTCCTCGACTATCTACGCAAGACAACGGCCGAAGGGAAGATCTGCCACTGGCTGCAGAAGAAGCACACGCAGTCCGGCAGCGAGGCCACCCTGGAGGAGTTTGCTGCGAGCTACGTGATGCAGGGCGAGAAAGTCGTGGCCGCCGAGACCGTCTCAAAGTTCAACGACCGCTTCTTCGGTCAGTGGCTCATGCTTCATGTTCCCTTCGAGAAGGCCACGGACTTCTGCCTGCCGCAGCACGTCGTGCGACGGCTCCCGGAAGCCCACAAGTACTTCGCCATGGCGGTCCTCTGCGAGCATCCGGTGGCACAGGCCATGTGGCAGGACGACGAGAAGATCCGAGCGGAGCTGAAGATGGAGGCGCACACCAAGGACCACGTGGACACCATCCTCGCCATGATCCGCGCTCACCGCGGCTTGCTGCAGGAATACCTGGAGGGCTCGCTGGATGCCCGCAAGGAGCAACAGACCCAAAACAAGCCCAGCGGTGAGAAGAAGGCCTCCAAGACGAAAGCGGGTCCTGTAGATGCCAGCAAGTTCAACAGACAGCAGCTCCGTGCCTCGACTGCATCAGAAGCTATTTGAGTCGATTTTACGAGTATGTCCAGCAAGTTTGTTGCTCCCGGCCTGCCAGGCTTCAAGGAGATCGTGGACGCGGCGGTGGACCGCGCCTTAGCCATGGAGGAAGCAGAGGACGAGGGCGAGGCAGACCGCTTGCGACAAGAAGCTCGAAGCAGCAAGGCCAGCGTTTGCCTTGGGCCCCCTGGCACCGGCAAGACCACCGTGATGTTCTCTTGCATCGATCGTGCTCTGGCCATGGGTGGCAAAGTTTTGATGGCTTTGCCGACGGCCCAGCTGTCCAGTCGCATGAAGGCGCGCTACGGTCACAAGGTGGACATCGATACTTGCCACGCCGCTTTTGGCCTGCATGAGTCTGCCGAGCACGGAGAAGCTTCCTTGCTGAGCATGTACTCCCTCATCGTCGTAGACGAGCTCTCGCAGCTGGATATGGTCAACTTCGAGAAGATCCTGAGGCTCTGGGCAGCTGCAGATTGCGTGCCGGCCTTGGCGCTGCTGGGTGACCGCTACCAGATGGCCGGCGTGGGAGAACGCCGGCCCTGGCATTCGCGCCTCTGGAATACCATGTGCTATCGGGTGGCGCTGCACAAGATGTACCGCTGCAAGGACAAAGTGCATGCGAAGCTCCTGGCAGTCCTCAGGACCGGCAAGCCCAGCGCCAAGCTCCTCCGACAGCTCCGCAGGAAGATGGCGTGGAGGCCTCCTGGCCCACCCACGGTGAAGGGACTTCGGAAGCTGCTGAAGTCGAAGCCCGACACGACCATCCTCACATGCACCAGGCGGGGTGCTGCTCGAGTCAATGCTGCCGAGTTGAAGGCCCTCTTCCCTCACTATCCTCCGCTGGCAACATTGCCGGCTGACGTGGACTCCAACCCCGAGAACTATGTGCAGGGCAAGCTGAAGCCGGCCGGCGAGCTGCAGCCCTCCGCCATGCCCGTCTACAAGGGCATGAAGGTGTACTTGACACGCAACGTGCGGAAGGACGTCGACTTCATCAACGGCATGGAGGCGACGGTCTTGAAGTATGACGACGGCACGGGTGGCCTCCTGGTGCGCACCGCCACCGGGTATGTGGTCAACCCGGAAAGAGGTGGCTTGGTCTACTATCCCGTCCGGCCTGGCTACGCGTCCACCATCCTGAAGTTCCAGGGGGCAGAACTCTCCCATGTCGTCGTCTACCTGGATGCCCCGAGGGTTCCGGCAGCGGCCTACACGGCCATCAGCAGGGTTGGCTACTACAAAGACTTCCTGCTGGCGGGCATCTTCACGGAGCATCATTTCACGCCGGCGAAGTGACGGGATTAGCTGCAGTCGTTTCACCTCGGCAGGCACTACGTGTACAGGTAGCCCGCAACATGTTGCTTTCCGCGATTTTCATTCGGAGCCATGCACTGGTGCCGCGCGAACAGAATACTGTGCAGGCAGCGCAGAGCACGGTCGATGCTCTTCAACTTTCAGAAACAGATAGCATTGAAGGTGCCAAAACAAGCTTGCCAGGAGCGCCGTATATCACAGGTGACTTGACGCATGTGTGTTGATGCCGCCCAAAGATGAATGGCATGGTTGCCATGGACGAGCCTCGCAGTCGTCTCTCTCGTGCAATCTTGGCTCTAAGCGAAAACGAGTTGACGACGCCACCTACAGTTTTACACACTTTGGCACACGTCCAACAACCTGCTTCGTTAGTTCTCAAATACCCTTTCTCATGCGGCCTGTAGGGCCTGTATAGGGTGTGGCGCTACGTGCGCCGACAAGTGCCATGAAGTTGGCCGAAAAGACCGGGCGGCTGCTGTGCTGGTACCTGCCCGATTGGGTTGATGGCTTGTCGATGCTGAACTGGCTGGGCACCTGCAGACAAGCCCACCTCTGTCAGCACGGCACCTCCTGGCCGGCCAAACTGCAGGCAACTGTGGGTTTCGCCAAAGGCTTGGCGGCTTACATGCTCAAGCACCATGTCATGCCGTCCGACGACAACTATCTGGAAACTGTGCTGCGGCTTCTGCATGACGACAGGCTGCCCCTGACACTGCCTTCCCCAGGCGGCCCTGTCGTTATCAATAACGCCCACGCTGGAAAGTGCCGCGATCACATTGCCTTGTACTTGGGCTTGCGCACCGGCAGAATCAAGGGCAACAGCTTCGAAGAGTTCTTCGAGGTGGTGCAGAAGCTGAACAGCCAGGAGCACGCTTGGTGCAGAGATCCAGCCTTCCAATCCGTGTGCAATCAACTGGTCGAAGGCAACGCGCGGTTCTTCGTGCGTAG